TACCAGCCCAGAGGTGACAAGTTCGCGCTGCAATTGCTTGTCAAATAGTGCAGCAGATAAGAAATTCAGCGACGGGCGATGAAAGAAGGATATCCGTATTCAAAACTGAATGTTTACCTTCCTCGGTTAAACACGAGATCCCGTGACTCGTTGGCTCTTCGCGGAACGGGGACAAGAAACACAATATTTCTCGTTAAGATTAAGGGTTCAGAAGAACGGGAGCGGCCGAAGAAGTTCCGAGGAAACGAATGATCGAGATCCAGCCGACGATTAATCAAGCAGGGCGGTGGCCCAGCACTTTTCCGAGTTTCTTATTCAAACGACATTACTTACGGGCGCGGCTTAACATAACGCAAAGAGGATAACGCGAGTCCGGAATAATTCTGTCGTCTCGCGTATGTACCAAGGATTCGCCAGACCTTGGACGCCGATCTAGGAAATTAGCATCTCGTGCGTAGATCCCGGGGGTTCCCCGGCGCGCATACCGAATGACGCGGAATCCGGAGACGTTGCCCGGCGAGCTCGGCATTCGGGACACGTGTCAACGTTCTTGCACTTGGCGAATGTGTACCTCGTAAATATCGCGAAGAAAAGAGAGCCGTCGCTCGGGACCATAACCTCGTCGCAATAACAAGCCCTACCTACATCCAAGGTCGGCGACGCGTGAACAATACGCGAATGGGGTTCACCAAGCGTTTCCATGCTTGCGCCGCCACAGCCGAGCGCACGATTATTTCGGTAATTACCGGCTGTTTGCTCGGAGTATTATCAACGGCTTTGATAACCGCGGCGAATGTTTCCCGTCTCGACTCGTTTTGACGCGTTTATCGGTGCACTCGCTGCGGGGACGTGGAAGGAAACGGGTTTAGACGACAGGGCGTGGAAGGGGAATGTTGTTGGGATTTTGGGGATTGATATGAGTGAATCTAGAATGTAGGAGATTTGTTAATTAAGGATTTATTAGTTTATTCAGTCTTGTGAATTTGAAAGAGGAAGGTAGAGGGAGGAGAATTTTCTTGGAATTTTGGGGATTGATGCGAGTGGATCTGAAATATGAGAGTTTTTTTAAGATTTGTCGGTTCTTTGTTTTTTCGTTTCTTGCTGATGTTAAGGATTTATTCGTTTATTCATTCTTCCTAATTTAAGGGAGGAAGATACAGAGAGGAGAATTTTCTTGGAATTTTGGGGATTGATGCGAGTGGATATGAAATCTGAGAGTTTCGTTAAGGAGATTTGTTGGTTCTTTGTTTTTTCGTTTCTTGCTGATGTTAAGGATTTATTCGTTTATTCATTCTTGTGAATTTAAGGGAGGAAGATAGAGAGAGGAGAATTTTCTTGGAGTTTTGGGGATTGATGCGAGTGGATCTGAAATCTGAGAGTTTTGTTAAGGAGATTTGTTGCTTCTTTGTTTTTGATTAATTTTGATTTTAGAATTTTGATTAATAATGTTGCATAGACAATGATGAAATGGATACCTGAATGCATGAGCGTAATTTTTTATTGCGATTTACTTTAAAGGAACGGTCGTCTGAATATAAAATATCTCGGGTAATAATGTAAATTTGCCAGTAGAGGATAAAAATTATACTTCTTAGAACTGGGATTTAACGTATTGAATCATCTTTCGACGTTTGTGCATAAACTAAATGCACTACAACATTTCACATACATAAATGTCTGTAATAAAATGAATTTTCAGTTTCATCCTCTTTTCTGTAATCCTTCTGCCGGCAGGATTCATTCGGATCACTTCAAACGCTTTAACATTATTGTCTCCAGTGAAATTAAATATTTCTATATCTTCCTACAAATATTTCCAAAATATTAATTACGCTACCCAAATATAATTAACACATATCAACAACATAATTTAACCACAAAACATTGCGAACAACGCCAAATTCCAATCAAATTCATTAATTCGATATAACTTCGTATTGACCTATCGTACTAATCCTATAACCTTATAACTCTATAACTCTAATAATCTCGTATTAAAAATGAAAATAATCAACACCTAAAAATAAATATCCTGTCCACAATATCAAAATTATCTCTCAAAATTGAATTATTCGCTGACACGTGTAACGAAATCCAGGGATTATCCGTTATATCTTGTCGGTCCGTTTTACCGTGGCAATGATACGACAAGCCTCGAATTTTCCCGGAACGGACATAAGAACGGCGGCGTCGTAAGTATTCCTAATCGATCGTATGAATCGCAGGAACCGCACGTGCGGGAAACACGTGCTAGCACTTCTGATAAACAACGGCGATGGAGATCGTGACGGGCCGGTATTCGCCGATGGAACGTGGAAATCGAGCGAGCCTGTCAATATTCTTCGCGGAGAGGTTTATCGTCCACGAAAATCGGCGAATTCGATTCCACGATAACAACCGGCGTCCCAAAAAACAACAAAGAGCGGGCGAGCCGTCGACACGGCACGAAAGTGTTCTGTCAGTAGAAATTGCCGTGCAGACGCAGACCTCACGAGCATTAATGAAACTCGGGTTAAATATACCCGTACCACTCGATTGATTTGACAACACGTCGTTCATTCATTTAAGGAAGTGTTCATTCACCGGCGTTCCCCTTTGATTTTCTAGTGCTAGGCGATTGTTCTAAATAAACTTTTGGAAGTGTCGCTTTAGCTGAGAGGCATTTTTATATTTTGTAAATAAATTTGAAAGGGAAATTTTATTTCATTGAATCTTATGAAATTACTCATTTAGCATTATTTATTCATCATTATTTTTTTTATTATTAGTTATCATTATTCCTTTAATATTGTTTATTTATTATTAGTTTAACATTATTTATCTATTATTAGTTATCATTATTCGTTTCTTTTGTAGAACTTTTCGTCGACCTTCAACGCATTCATAAATTTTTTATGTTCCATTGTGGCTAATTGAACGAAATACAAAGGGAATATTTCCTGAATCTTTCCGGTCCTCGAATGAATAGCTGAAGAGGTAACACACTGATTAAAAGGGAACAAGATTTTCAATTTTACTCCATTATAATAGCATTCTCTAGCAGAATGTATGTTTCAAACAAGTTCTTTAAGGCTCCGAAGTACGTACTTGCGAACGTAGCAAAGGGTGGTTGCAGAAATCCTCACAGGATACTCTACTGGAAATAACTTTTAACTCGCTGTTTCGTTGGAAGTAGCATTAACAATTGAAAGTAAAAGTCAGCGATGCATGAATACTTTTTCCCTCGGCGTTGCGTGGTTTCTCTGAACTTAAATCTTTTAAAAGGTGCAATACTCGCCAGAATAGCGTGCAGTCTTAAATTGCTGTACCAATCATTTTCGTGGGGCATTATTTTCCCAGAAAATAAGAATCGCACTTGGA